AAAATGGGAAATAACGGGTAAAATGGGTAATAACGGGTAAAAATGGGAAATAACGGGTAAAATGGGTAATAACGGGTAAAAATGGGAAATAACGGGTAAAATGGGTAATAACGGGTAAAAATGGGAAATAACGGGTAAAATGGGTAATAACGGTTAAAAATGGGAAATAACGGGTAAAATGGGTAATAACGGTTAAAAATGGGAAATAACGGGTAAAATGGGTAATAACGGGTAAAAATGGGAAATAACGGGTAAAATGGGTAATAACGGTTAAAAATGGGAAATAACGGGTAAAATGGGTAATAACGGTTAAAAATGGGAAATAACGGGTAAAATGGGTAATAACGGGTAAAAATGGGAAATAACGGGTAAAATGGGTAATAACGGTTAAAAATGGGAAATAACGGGTAAAATGGGTAATAACGGTTAAAAATGGGAAATAACGGATAAAATGGGTAATAACGGGTAAAAATGGGAAATAACGGGTAAAATGGGTAATAACGGGTAAAAATGGGAAATAACGGGTAAAATGGGTAATAACGGGTAAAAATGGGAAATAACGGGTAAAATGGGTAATAAGGGTTAAAAATGGGAAATAACGGGTAAAATGGGTAATAACGGTTAAAAATGGGAAATAACGTAATAACAAATGTAAGACCCGGTGAGAGTGGCATCCCAAGTTCATAGATCTCAACAAAAAATTCAAGACATTAATACTAAACACAGGGCTCGAGCTCGGCTTTGATATTGATAGCCCCTGCTGATGAATGTCTGTGTCGGGCATGCGAGAGAATGAACTATTCGTTTGTATGAACTCAACTTTCGATCCTCTAACATTTGGATGGAGATTGAACAAAAAAAAAAAAAAACTGCCTTAAGCCTTAAAGGTCACATCTGTTAATTTATTCATGTGCCCGGGACAAATGTCAGTGTTAAATCGGAGCTCTGAAAAATGATTCCAATTTTTTATCAGAGAATGTCTCTTTTAAAAAGTAACACAAAAAAAAAAAAGAAAAAAAAAAAAGGAAGATTATACAGTTATAATTATTTGCAATAGGATGTATTAATTTATTCATGTGCCCGGGAAAAAAGTCAGTGTTAAATCGGAGCTCTGAAGAATGATTCCAATTTTTTATCAGAGAATGTCTCTTTTAAAAAATAAAAAAAAAAAAAAAAAGAAAAAAAAAAAAGGAAGATTATACAGTTATAATTATTTGCAATAGGATGTTAGACACTCCTTAAACGCATAAAGGTTATATGTATAACGATGTGGGAATAGCTTTATGAAAGACGGAACAAATGATGGACATAAAATAACTTTGTAGGTAATTTAATTTACAGTTTAACATTTTTTTTTTCCTCTACTGGCGCGAGGGTCTTTGAGACAAGATGCCAGTTATTTCGAGGCGTATATAGAACATTTAGAATGAACTAATTGTTCACAGGAGAATGGGTAACTTATCAATATTACATTTAGATTAGACACCTCTGTATCAGCATGCTTTGGTGCAACGTAAAAGCATGCGAGCATAGTATGACTACATCTGCACACTCTCACACCCAGACTTTAAGAGGTTCTTGACACACAATAACAGAACAACAACAACAACCCAAACACATGCTGTCTAAAGAGTTAGGTGTTTTGAGTCTTCTCAAATTAATTGAATAACTTTTTTCTCTGAGAAACTCAACTACGACCACGCTAAAGAGAATTACGCCCAGATGTGTATTGACTGAGTTGCTACGACTAGGCCAAGGACACTTACGCCCAGATGTGTATTGACTGAGTAGCACGATGCTTTTTTAGTGTTTGCGATTGACTTTTCCTGTTAAACCAAAACTCTCGTCCTGGGCAGCGATAGTGTCCGCGAGTATTGTCAATGAAGTCCCAGATGACCGGCACGAGTCATTCGTTTTTGTCGACCGTCGCACGAATCTGATTGGGGGGGGGGGGGGGGAAGGTTTGGAGGGACTTTGAATGTAGTGTTCACTAATGTCTCTCTCAAGGAGGGGGCTTTCTGGATCTGCCTGGTGGGGATGAAGTCAGTAGTGGCTGGTCAATAGTGTAAGATTAATGAAGTTATGTGGGGAGCTGATTGGGTCAGCATCAATGTTAAGAGTCCACTTCTCTGTTGAAGGATGGGATCAGTTATGTGGTGAGTTGATTGGGTCAGCATCAATGTTAAGAGTCCACTTCTCTGTTCCAGGATGGGATCAGTTATGTGGGGAGTTGATTGGGTCAGCATAAATGTTAAGAGTCCACTTCTCTGTTCAAGGACGGGATCAGTTATGTGGGGAGTTGATTGGGTCAGCATCAATGTTAAGAGTCCACTTCTCTGTTCAAGGATGGGATCAGTTATGTGGGGAGTTGATTGGGTCCGAATACATGTTAAGAGTCCACTTCTCTGTTCAAGGATGGGATCAGTTATGTGGGGAGTTGATTGGGTCAGAATACATGTTAAGAGTCCACTTCTCTGTTCCAGGATGGGATCAGTTATGTGGGGAGTTGATTGGGTCAGAATACATGTTAAGAGTCCACTTCTCTGTTCCAGGATGGGATCAGTTATGTGGGGAGTTGATTGGGTCAGAATACATGTTAAGAGTCCACTTCTCTGTTCAAGGATGGGATCAGTTATTTGAGTGAGCCAATACGAGATTTATTGTCAGTGGACACATACAAAGAAAAACAAAATATAGTAGTTTAAATCCATGAATGATAGGTCTGAAATTAGGAGGTAGATTTTAGAAGCAAATAATTGTGTTACCAAGGAGCTAGTAATAATAAAATACGATTGTACCACTCTAAAGGTAAGAATCCCCCAAACACCACGATTGTAGAACTATAGAGCTATGAATTCACCAAACACCACGATTGTAGAACTATAGAGCTATGAATTCACCAAACACCGCGATTGTAGAACTATAGAGCTATGAATTCACCAAACACCACGATTGTAGAACTATAAAGCTATGAATTCACCAAACACTACGATTGTAGAACTACAGATCTATGAATCAAACACCACGATTGTGGAACTATAGAGCTATGAATTCACCAACCACCGCGATTGTAAACTATAGAGCTATGAATCAAACACTGCGATTGTATAACTATACTGAATCTATAGAGCTATTGCTTCATCTTCCGAAACTCTGCCATTCCACTAATGTTCCAGCCCACCCCACCTCCTGCTACTTGGATGGCCTCATCTTCAGTGCATTTATCGATGATCATGAAGAAGAAATGTATTCATTGGCATTTATTTATAGAAGTGATTTTTAAAAAAAAATATATATAATATAAAAAAAAAATGTCTTGGAGCTCACGGGAAGTAGGTCAAGATGAGAGCCCGTGATATGGGTTGTGGACACGCTCACGCCAAACATTGATCCTGGAGAGTGAATGGCTTGTAGTACCAGCACAGACGTACACACGACATTTTTTTATGGTGTATTTCAAAGAAAACCCCCCCCCCCAAAAAAAAACTTGCTTCAAGCCACTGAATGAAATGAAGCGGCAGACCCTTATAGTGCAGCAACACTGTGTTGGTGTTCATTGCATGTTTTGACTTTGATGCGTTTTGTTTTATATAAGCACCGACCTAATCTTATCTAGTAAATGTTTGAGATGTGTCCGAGTGACGAATACCATACCCGCGTCTTCACGCGTGTATTTTGGGGTGTAATTGACATACACTTATTAAGTGTATAGTTAACAAAGGCAAATCTTGGCCATCTTGTTTTTCCATGACACGGGATTTGACAGTACATATGTACGACATTTTGGGAAAATAAAATCGACTATTATGTCCTGTCAAAGATAACTTCTAGCCCACACGTTATCACGCAGAAAGAACGTGTGATGGGTGTGTGTGTGTGTGGGGGGGGAGGGTAAGTGTGTGTATGGGGGGGGGGCACCGGGGCGGGATTGGTATCAAATTGTATATTGATGAAAGTAGGGAGTGTTAATAAAGAAAGGGAAATGTTTCAAGCTGTAACTGGCTTTCAGTCTGCTGTGGTAAGCCAATGGTAAAAATTTAAATTTTACTGAATTTCAAAATATTTTTTTTTTTTTTTTTTTTTTTAACTGCCATTAGGACATTGGCCAGATGCAAAAGGAAACAAAAAGGTAGGGGGGGGGGATACTCAAGATTTCTTCCACTCTTATAATTTTTTTTTGCTGGCATCCGTCGGTCACAATGTGACGATGGTGAAGACTTCGCACGACGAAATCCACAAGGCCTGGGATTATTCTTCTAGGATTATAAGCTTTTTCCAAACAGCAAATTGCCTCTCTCCACGCCGCTGGATCAGCGCTATATAAATATCCAATCAATCAAATCAATCAAATACTTCACAAAACTTAATGATGTTAGAAACTTAAATATCATTATATTTTTAAAGTTATGAATTGTGATGAGTTTTTGCCATAGCAGGTAGAAATTAACGCAAATGACCTACTATTATTATCCCGATAACATCGGGTCATTTATTCTAGTATGTTAAGATTTAATTATGTGTGCACCATAAACAAATTCAAAAGTTTCGGAAAATACCTTCATCAGAAAAACAAAAAGCATTTATAAAATTATAAATAAAATTAACATAATATATGTATATCTACCTATACCTAAAAATGGAAGAAAAGAAAAAGAATGGACACCGGTCCGCAACACAAACAAAGATCATAAGAACGGAAAGAACATGGGTGGAAGTACAATAAAAAAATATAAAAAAAAACAGGAAAAAGGCAAATGCTGCAATGAAAAATTGTGAAGTTTATTTATACCTCTGGAGTCAACGTGCCAACAATTATTTATTTTTTATGTTTTCCACATAAGTTCTATCAGATGTATTACTCGCATACAATACACCAGTAACTGCAATCTCAAAATTCCATTAGGATTAGTACTGTTGAAATGTTTCGCTACGGGACATCACTTGAAAGCATTTGAAGAGCACTTAGCTCTAATAAATGCTAATCTAAACCTCTATATCATCAGGGCAACAACGATGTGTATCAGTTCCTGTCAGGGGTCCCCATTAACCCACAGACCAGGTTCCTGCAGCTGAGCCAGCCGGATGTGATGGATGCCTTCCAGAAGGTGATACATTACATGCGATATGCCCTAGCTATATATGGATGGCCCATCTTTGTCAAGATGCATCCAGCGACCTGGTGTTGTAGACTCATGCCTCTCATTGGGTAAGTCTTTAGCAATGAAGATTTTCATCTTTAACAAACATGAATGTATTTCTAATTGTATATTTTTTATTCACGCATTGTGGCTGACATTATTTGACGGTCTATTAACTCGTAAATAGTAAAAGTGATACATTTTAATTAGAGTTACAAACAGACCTATGCCTATACTGAATGCATAATTTTTTGAATAAAATATGCTTGTCATTTAATTTATTTTTACATAAAAAAGCAAGAATGAATTAAACGAGCCCTACTCTCTGAGCAGTGTCACGTGATCTTTGTAGCCTATATGATTATGAACACAGAGTTTCATAACTGAAAAAAAAGTGAGAGTTAGAAAGAATTTTATTAAAACTCTTTAACTTTAAGTAACTTGAAAAATAGAAATTCGGGGAAAACCCTTTTTTAACATTAAAAAAACAACATCTAACAAGGTTTTTGTTTTTTAAAAATAGAAAAGGTAAAAGCCCATAACCTAATTGATGCATTGGGCAGGAAGCAATAATTTATTTTTTACTGGGCTGGCAATTTAAATAATAACATTGAACTTTGCCAGCTTACTTCCTCTGAGAGTTGGAAAAGGTCAAAGGACAGGAACAGGAAATGAAATTGTTGAAAAATCCCCAAAGGATTAAATTTGAAAACATATCGCTTCTGCAACATCTGTATTCCTTAGGCCAATAATCGATTCAAAAGCTTTTTCCAGCCAGAGAAATAGATGAGTGGGTTTTTAAATAAGCTTTTGAAATAAAAAAAAGAAGAAAGTTAAGTCTTCACATACACGCACACAGATACACATGTGCAGATGCTCAAAGACACATGTTCAATGTTCATATATAATTAATTATATACTAGTATTAGTATATAAAAACACATTTTTTGTGTGTCTTTGATCTGCCAATAGATAGAGCCATGCAGAATATCTCTAACACAGTAGTTCTCAACCTTCCTAATGCCGCGACCCTTTAATACAGTTCTTCGTGTTGTATTGACCCACAAACACAAAATTATTTTCGTTGCTAATTCAAATAACTATAGACTATAGACTATAGAGTATATATGTGTTTTTTGAGGTCTCAGGCGACCCCAGCGAATAGGGTCGTTCGCTGCTCTATCATGCTCATCACTTATACTTTTATTTGATTAATTAGTGGTTTAAAAACTAACATTATTCTTCTCATCTCCCTAATTAAAAAAATAATTTTAAGATTAAATTAAATTGCATCCATGTGAGCCAGTACGCCGAGTACGCATCCCCTAGTTTGGGAACCCCTGCAATAAACTATTGAAATTTTAAGGTGTAATAAATCATCAGTTTAGAATCAACCCCCCCCCCCCCCCCAGGAAATGATACAAATAATAATAACTTGAGCGTTACTGGCGGTACTGAAATGTGCTGAGAGCATTATCTTACAGCATGCTTTCACCTGTATGTTCCTCCTCTCAACACCTCTGCCACCCTCTTATACAGGTGCTGCTGTTGTAAAAAAGCCCAGAAAGGTGAGATTGTGGATGATAACTGCTGCATGTGTAACTTCAGTACAGCTCAGCCTACCAGTGGACTGGATTCCCTAGATGTGGTCTACTGCACTTACCATGTAGCGGTAAGCCTCAAGGGTTCTATAGTTTTAATTAGCCCTACTCCCACATAGGGATCATTTTTAAACTGGCTTTTTCCTGTAGTCTTCTGTCAGGCTTGGCACATTTTAGCTTAGTCATTGCACTGACTTTGACACAGCAGTAAGCTTTATGCTATCAGATTGACTACACACATATGATGACACAGCAGTAAGGTTTATGCTATCAGATTAACTACACACATAATATGATGACACAGCAGTAAGCTTTATGCTATCAGATTGACCACACACGTATGATGACACAGCAGCAAGGTTTATGCTGTCAGATTGACTACACACATAATATGATGACACAGCAGTAAGGTCTATACTATCAGATTGACCACACACGTATGATGACACAGCAGCAATGTTTATGCTGTCAGATTGACTACACACATATGATGACACAGCAGTAAGGTTTATGCTATCAGATTAACTACACACATAATATGATGACACAGCAGTAAGCTTTATGCTATCAGATTGACCACACATGTATGATGACACAGCAGTAAGGTTTATGCTGTCAGATTGACTACACACATATGATTACACACATGAGCTTGGCTAACATAATTGTCCTTGGACCATTTCTCTAGCATATATTCTGACCATAACGTTATAAAAGCCACTATTGTCATTGAAGAATGATACATTTTTACTGAAGCCATATCAGTAATTAATTGATATTGTTTACTATAAATAAATAAATATCACCATTATAAAGTATTTAAAAGCAACAGAAATAATTCTTAATTGTTACAATCTTAAAGGACGGATATTAATGTTTAAAAATACCTATTTGAATGGCCGCACAATTATTCTATAAATTAGAAAAATAATAGCATTTAAGAAATACAGTGCAGAGATTACTTTTATTTTAATTTTCTCACATTTGTTTGTTTTCCCAGTCTACAGCAAAAAAAAAATGTATTTATTAATTATAAACTCTAATGAAATTAACAACTCATCTGTAATAATTAAAGAGTGAGGCTAAGCTTGAACTAAGATGGATAAATATAATTTCTTATAAATCTCTGGAATCAACAGCCAATTAGTGTGACATGAAAGAGCCTACATGTATTTTCTTTTAAAACCATTTCCCAGGTAACAGCAACCAAGGTGCAAAATTTTCTTGGTAAAATTGTGTTTTAATGTGATCAGTAACAGATCAAGTTGTATTTGTACTATATAATTTGTAAGGCTGTTACAGAGATGGGCATATATTTAAAAACAACGGCTGTTGCATAAATATAATCACAAAACCACCTCCACCCCTACATTAAGTGGACATTTAATTGAAGGCTGTAAATTTTCAAGCATGACATGGCAGTGCTAGGTTCATTGTTACAGGCATCCTGTAAAATTGTGTGTTACGCGAGTGCTTAAAACTTAGATTTGAGTTTGTCAACCCTTTCAGATAGGTGAGACCCCGTTCTTTGTGGCTCTGGATCATGAGCATAAAAAAGTTGTGGTTGCTATCAGGGGGACGCTATCATTACAGGTAAGAAATCACACATATGAGGGTTGAAAGGTCAACTAGTTATCTATTTCTTTGACCAGAGAGTAGTTCTTATCATTAAGTATATTGTTTAAAACTTATAATAATAATAATAATAAAGTTTATTTGAAAAACACACTTCATCCCCAAAAGCTTGAAGCGCTGTACAAAGTCAACCATATTAAAAAGAGAAATAAAAAAAAATCTAAAATTTACCACATTTATAAACAGACGCAACACTATAAAACTACATACAAGCATACCAAGTCAAAGTCTTTCATCCCATTTCAACCGTAAGCAAACCATTCCAATATACATTAACTGAAAAAAGATGGTAGATAGCATCACCTCAGAAGGTGTTTGTGAAATAGATGTGTTTTTAAATTGGTTTCATTGACAGAAGTGAACAGGATGGCTAGAAACTTGATTGTCTTTCAGGGTCACAGATGATTTAAATAAACGAAATATGATTAGTTATCATGTATTAATTATTCCCAGGATGTACTCACTGACCTGCAGGCTGAACCTGAGACCTTGCCCTTGGCCTCTCCACAGGATGATTGGCAAGGACATAAGGTAGGGATAAAAAGATGTTCGTGTGGTAGTTCATCTTTTCGCCAAAGCACTTTTAGCCATAACACCTTTAGCCGTAACACTTTTAGCCATAACACATTTATATTATTTAAAATAGATTTTCTGTTCAAACTTTATGCGCTATTTAAAAAAAAAATGAATAGATTAAGGAATCTACTCAGTCATAATTTTAACTGAATTTTATAGCATACAAAAATGATGGTAGTACTGTAATTAGGTGAGTCATAGCTCAAACACTACACTATAGGTGATATTCATGAATGATTATTGAGGGCATTGCTAGACATTTATCAGGATTGCTGTTGTTTATAATTATGGCAACAAGCTCACACCCCCCCCCCCAAACCTTGATGTGGTTAGAAAACTATTTATGATCTACAAGTTTGTTTACTCTTGTCTGTTTAAATCCAGGGAATGATTCAAGCTGCAGTGTACATCAAGAAGAAACTGGTGGATGATGGGATACTACAGATGGCTTGGGAGAGTGATGAGGTAGGTTTCACTACATTTTTAAAAAAAATAATTGTCATTAGAAATGAAATGCTGCAAAGAAGTCTAAAAATATTACTCTAAAAAAAAAAATCTAAATTTTAACAATCATTAAAAACCACTTAAAATATTAATTTGAAATGAAAATTTTAATTTAAAAAAACAAAAAAATAATTTAAAAAAATAAACAACAGCAGCACAACTCTTTAACAAAAAATGCATTCTTATATTTCATATTGGATTATGATATTAAGTCTCAAACTCCATCACAAAATATAATGGCAATGCTTTACAGGGTTTGAGAATCAGTGCAAGTTTATTTTAGTTGTTTACCACCAAGACCAGCTTAGAGTGTAGATTGCGTATTTAAAATTTAAAATGCTTTTGTGTCTATCAGAAGATTGTTTGCTTGTTGGACAAACAAGATTTGCATGATCTGGTTTAAAATAAAAATCTGTGAGCATTTTGAGGTTTTCTTAAGTGGCTTCATTTAAAAGTTTGTCCATTTCTTGACTAACTTGTGTAATACCTTTTACAGTGTGAGTTACCTAGTCAATAGCAGTAAAGATCTGTAGCTAGTGTACCTTGTTTAATATCATGGAACTTACTATCATAGTTAACTGGAACTTTTTAGTTTATAGCACTGTAAATGTTAATTTATATACAGCTTAATTAAAGATATCTCTTGTAGAAAAAAAAAATTATAATTGATGCTTAAATTGATATTTCTTCTATCTTTAATTCATATGAAAATATTACACTAAAATGACAGTGTTTGTAGTAAGTGATTGTTACCTAATCTACAATGGTTGCATCCTGTCCAGGGTTATACAAAAAGCTCTGACTGGTTGAAATCGGTAATTCCTATTCGTCTTGTTTCCTCTGTACCCTCACGCTGTAGCATCCCACATCACAGGAATAATTTATAGTATCTATTAGCAATCTTGTTGCCTTTAAAATTATTATTATTTCATTTTAGACTTAAATTTTCACTATAAGCAAATATACACCAAGTAATATAATATAAAATGCAAAACATAAGAACTGGGTCTATAATAATAATAGGGCAAATGACTCAACAACCTTCAAGCGTAAATAAAAGAAATAAATTGCTCATGAAATTATCATAGCCTAATAATAAATATGATCGTTAAAACTTGTTTTGTTTATTGATTGTGTTATTTAAAAAGGATATTTGGCATATATTAATCCTAATTATGACCATATCCCTTATGGGAGGGCTTCTCAAACTTTTCATTTTTTCAAAGATTTATCACATTGGGGCAGAAACCAGTGTCCGATTCATTATTGTTTTTTACACACCACCTTTAAGTTTTTTTTCCTTTTGCAGTTTGGGGATTGAACACTTGCTTAGATGACTACTTTGAAAAGCATTGCCTTATGACAGTGGTCGGCAAATCGTGGTTTGCTATGGCGGTTCTTTAGTGACCAGAGTGGGGCTCGGCCAGTTGGCCACAAATCTGCCTTGACTCCGAAAAACATGATTCCTGACAGGTTCTTGAAAAGAAATTCGGCTCTCAAAAATGTTTAATCATCCTGCTGCTGATTTTTGGCTCTTTTGACTAATGAGTTTGCCGACCACTGCCTTATGGGCTTATGTTTTTATATTGCTACGGGTGGTGGCCATATCATTGAATGCTGTATATGGTGCCCTATTTTATTTCTGTGTAGGCTATTGATGTTTTAACTGCCTTACTTGTGTTTTTCCTGTATCTTCCTCTGTCCCACAAGAAAATCAATCCCTTGCTTACATAATCAAAACAGTATCAGGAATAACACACCCCATAAATTCAAAAATAAATACATCAATACTCAATAGTCTGTTGTTATATAATTGTTATAATTTTGTGTTATTTTCTACCAATTAAAAGATGTTACAACATAAATACTTATTAATACCCCAAGAGTGATTTTGTCGACATTTGGTCAATAGTCACAGATAAGATGTTTAAAATCTCATTCTCTAGATGAAAGAAAGAATTAAAAGAAATAATACAGCTTAATATCTTCTTTATAATTAGCAATATGTTTGCTAACCTCATGTCATTAGACTTAGTTTAGTGAACACATTGTTTGATTTAGACTTTTTCTGTTTTCTTCTCTATGTTACATTATTATGCAATCTGCCCCTGCTGCTTGAATGTTGCTCCCCTAATCAATCTGATAATCAATATAAAGGGAATTTCATTTTATCATCCAATTATTTAAAATCTGTTCACAAAAAGTTGTATAAATTAATATAAAAGTGATATTTTTTCCCATGTTTGGTTTATGGGACATTTTTAATGTTACTTTACACTCTACCAGCTGTTTGTAAGAATGGAAGTTTGATGTATAGCTCCTTATGGTAAATTATTTTATTGAAAGGACAACAATTAACGTGACTATTTTTATCCAAAAAATTATCAATTGTTTGACCATTTGATTGCACTTATCTTACGTACAAAACATGAAGTGAGAAACTCTCCAGACTGTGGCCCTTTAAAACTTTTTTGAATTTTCTTAAAGGGCGAAATCTTGTGCCATCAGCTCAGTGATTGGTTGATTGGGAGGCCCAATCAAGGGTTTTATATGATTAAAAACTCTATTTTCAAAGAAAATTTAGAAAATATTTTCCCCAAAAAATCTACACAATTGGATGGTTGAATTTTAAAGGTCACTTTATGAAAATATGAAAATTATCCAATAAAACTATAATGTGTTAAGCTTTGCTAATCTTTGTTTTTATTGCTTTTTTTTTTTTGGTTTGTATTTTATCATGATTTTCATCAAATTATGTTATTAAGTATAGAAATAAATAGATCATTTACACCAATTGAAGTGTTAACTGAAATAAGCTACATCTACAAAGCTCTTTGAGGCCCCTCAAAAATGTTAATGCATGATCAAAGGGTTCCTTTCTACTTGTATGTTGTTGGAACTACTAAATACTTTAAGATAACTAGACAGTTCTATTAAAATTTATGATTAACATTTCATTAATCCTTATTTGAAAATAAAACAGCTTAATGCTATAGGAATATTTGAGTACTTTAAATCATAATAGCAATTATAATTACTGAAATGCACACACCTAAAAAAAAATGTTAGCATCAAACAATCTAAATTCGTTTTGCCACACAAGTTGTCTCTCTGTTTGATTTCTGTTTCATTAGTAGAAAAATGACAACTTTTACAATTATTTTGACTTCTTTTAATCTTTGACACAACAGTACCCTTGTCTATATGATTATGTTGTTTCTGATCAGGAGAGAGATGCATCCAAGTATGAGTTGGTGCTGGTCGGCCACTCATTGGGAGCTGGTACGGCTGCCATCCTGGCCATACTTCTACACGCGGACTATCCGACCCTTCACTGTTATGCCTATAGCCCTCCTGGTGGTCTGCTCACGTAAGAAAAAACAATAATAAACATACATTATGTCAAAAGTTATTTATTTAATAGTTGTTTTAAAAATTTGATGGTAATCCTGTAATATGAATGTTTTCTTTTTATAAAAAAAACTATTTTCAAATATTTGTAACATTTTTTAAAACACTTGGCTTTGAAATGTTGTTTAATGTTGATGCAAAGCGGCTCACTTTATGTGTTATTTACATTTTTTTGGCTCAAAATCCTCAGAGGTAATTCTAGGAAGGATTTCAATTAGTTTCTGGATATTCATTTCAGACCAGCAGAGCCATGGCTACCATCAGCAAATGTCAAAATATATTCATTACATTTTCTTTTTTTACCATTCATGTTCCTCTTTTTACATTATTCATCTTTTCATATATCAATTTGTATATTGTCAAGTTTCAGAAACTCAATATATTTAACTCAATCATTTTTTTACATAAAGTTCTTATTTTAATGTTTCTTGTCTTGACAAATAAGTATCTCTTTTCCAACCAGACTTCCTTGTGACGTTTCTCGTCTTGACCAATAATGATCTCTTTTCCATCCAGACTTCCTTGTGATGTTTCTTGTCTTGACCAATAATGATCTCTTTTCCATCCAGACTTCCTTGCGATGTTTCTTGTCTTGACCAATAATGATCTCTTTTCCATCCAGACTTCCTTGTGTAGAACAAACCAAGTCATTTATCACATCTGTTGTGGTGGGCAAGGACTGTGTGCCAAGGTTAGATTTTACCTTCTTTCTTTTTCTTCTTGTTGTTAACAATAAAATTGGATTTATTTTAATCCACCATGAAACACTGCTGAGATTTGTTTATAATAATCTCTTTCTCCTCTCCCCCTTTTTTTCCTCTCTCTCTCCTCCCACCCTTTTTTTTTAAAAATAATTTTTTTACTCTGTTTCATGTCTGCACATCTCTGCATTTAGAATGAAACTTAGAAATGCAAAATAAAAAGTAAGAATAACAGATGACATCAGGAATACAATCCCATAGGAAAGGTCAAGTTTCAAATCAATATTATCTGTAGACAAAAATTTGCAAGTTGGACCTCAAGAGATTTTGGATAAGGCCCAAAAATCAAAAGAAGCTTAATGAAAGAACTCTTGTGGAAATATCAGGGGAAACTGGGAATCTTGTACAATTTTTTTCTTTCAAACTTGATTCACTTGCTTATCAGCTGTTGACAGTGATGTTATCTGTCAAGTGGAAATGGCATATCAGATAAATTACTGATTTTGAGACCTTAATAAAAAATTAATTACATTTTTTTTTTTAAAAAGAGCAACATTTTTGTTCTGAAATAATTTTTTTTTTGATAATTCAGTTGATATTATGAGTGTTCTTTGAGTATCATATAGTGAATTCATGTAGATCAATGTTGCCCAACTTTAGAGTCACGAGTATCATATAGTGAATTCATGTAGATCAATGTTGCCCAACTTTAGAGTCACGAGTATCATATAGTGAATTCATGTAGATCAATGTTGCCCAACTTTAGAGTCACAAAGTTTTTAGGAACACAAGGGTTTTTAACCACTAGTTTTATTGACACAATGTTCAAGGAAATAACTAACGTAACTGGTCTCATTTGCTCAACCACAGTCTAATGCAGGGTCAGGAACCTGTGGCTCTATTGATGGCTGCGTCTGGCTCGCAGACAAATGTTTGATTATTAAAAAATTTTTCTTTAGACTCCTTTGATCTACATATTAATTGCATATCAATATTTGATTAGCAACAGCATAACAATGTTATTAAAAAGAATTCAGAGACATGATTATTGCATTTTTAGTGTTGGAAATACACAAAATGAACACACTTACTTGAATTTTTAGTTTTAAACATAATGTATGGCTCTCACAGAATTGCTTTTCAAAATATGTAGTGCCCATGGCTCTCTCAGACCCCTGGTCTAATGTATCAACGAAACTTCTAAGGCAGATTTTTGGTAGTTGACATGAATTTTCAAGGCATTTTCTGTAAATAAAAGCTATGTATTTTTCTCATTAATAAAAAAAAAGGTGAACAGCTCTTATAAAGATTAACAAAGTTTTTAAGGAAAGACGTTGTAATCTTGTAGGCATGGGTTTGCGGGGCACATGGCATGATCACTGGGCACGGCAGAGATTGCTTGGAATATTCCACAAACATGTTCTATTATGGGTTAACAACTTGTAAAATCTGAAAACAGAATGACCTCTTAGGGATCTCATTTCACTTAACTAAGCCTGTTAAAGGCCAAGCTCAAAATATAACCATACAATTATCAAGTATGCTTTGTATAGGTGGTTGGGCATTGGTAAGGGGAAAAAAAGTTTTGCTTTATAAGAAAACTACACAATTTCCATCATTTTGATGGTCATGTCAAGTATATTTAAGAAATGTTTTGATAATGAAATTCAACCTACTGATAAAATATATTGTAAATAATGGAATTATTAATAGAGATGAGAGCAGCATCTTTTTAAAAAATATTTTCCAAAAGATGATTATTTGAATTTTTTATTCATTCTGTTACGTGATCCACTTCATCAGGATTGGGTTACCTCAGCTTGAAATGCTGCGTGCCGACATTCTCAATCAAATCAAGAATTCATCTGACTCCAAGGTAAGTGACAGTTTGACCTTTAATGTGATTCAGGAAGCTCTTAGTGTTAGATACCAGATTTTGTGGGGCCAATTCAATAACAGTGTAGACTTTGGATTATTCCACATGCACAAGAAATGCTATAATCTTGGCTGGACATTAAGTTATTATAAATTGGTTTTACACAAAGCTTGGCTGAACGGTCATTGCTTTTTCAAATGCCCTAATTCCATGTCAGCTCTTTACCTCATATTATATCAGTGGTTCTAAAACTTAAATAGCTTGAGGGAGTAATTTTTATTAGAAAAGTTTTAAAAGATCATTATTTTATTAACTATGGGGTGATTTGTCTGGCAGCATGTTATTTGGCATTCAACCATTTGTGGTATTGTCGGGGTTGGAGGACCACTGGACAAACAACTCAAGACAGCCTAATGTAACTGGTCTCAGATGGCCAACCACATTCTATTGAAGTAGCTGTGGTCTCAAACTGCTAACCTCAGTTAACCAATGTAACTGGTTTCAGATGCCCATCTACAACCTATAATGAATTATCAAAATGTCTAAGGCAGATTTTTACTTGTTGACATGAATTCGCTTGGCATTTCCTGTAAATAAAAACTAAATACTTAAAAATTTTTTTTTTAGTTACTTGTACCTTCAGATGTACCTCACAGAACATGGGATTATACATTTGTTTATTAAATGGTAGTTTTTCCTACTTCTTATCGGTCATTTTATTCCAAACGTTGTGTGTCGTATTTAGTGGAAAATCATCACACAAGGACTGATGTGCTGTGGGAGAAATTCTGCAGAGACCCTCCCCAAAGAAATGCTTGAACGTGACGTCACTGCTCATCCCAGCAACTCAGCCATTGGACTGTCAGCCCACCTGCCTCTCTATCCACCTGGACAAATGATTCATGTTGTCAGAAGCCACCTTACTGACAAAAAGTCCAGGTACCTTGTAATGGTATTCAGCCATCACCACTTGACCCATAAAACTGTCTCCCTGATTATGCATGAGACTGCTTCAGCGATTCTCAACCTGTGGGTCACTACCCCTTTGGGGGGTCGCACTACCCTTTTCTAGGGGTCGCCCACGACCATTGAAAAACACATATACTCTACAGTTACGAATTAGCAACGAAAGAAATATTTTTTTGGGGGGTCGCCACAACATGAGGAACTGTAATAAAGGGTCATGACATTAAGAAGGTTGAGAACCACTGGACTACTTAATCTGTTTAATGTGAACCTAGTGGAATTTTACATAATTATCACTTCAAACAACCACAAACATTAATAACAACATTTTATCATCCTCTTTAATGGAAATACTTTCACCAATGAACTCAGTAGCTCCTCTCACATAAAACAAATCAAAAAGTGGTTCTTTAAGAAAACTGATTCCTGCCATGTAAAAATTGTCTGACATAATCCTCTACCAGTTCTTGATCCTGTTTCCTAGGGGCTACTGCGATGACTCCGATTTTATCTATCAAGCCATCTGGGCCAACAATGGAGACTTTGATGAAGTTCTTGTCTCTCCCACAATGCTTAATGACCACATGGCCGACAGAGTCCTGGAAGCATTACAGAAGGTAGGACATTTTGACTTGTATCAAGCAGTGGGATACTTTACCTTTGGTTTGACATTTTAACGTAATAAAATTAACATTACACATCACACTTAGTTTCAGAATTTCAGGAAGTGTTTGGTTTTGCCAAGATTTAAATTCGTTACGGTTAAAGGATTTTAAAATGTTATTTTTACTGTTCAAACAGGTTGTTCTGAAAGTTGCACCTGAGAAACCAGTTCACACACTGACAGAGGAGCAGCGCAGGGAAATGCTCAACCACCCATCCGTGTCGTCCCTGGCCACGCCTAGCGATGTCATGCTGAGTAACCCCATCAACACCCCTGACATAACCAGGGGATCAGAGGACAGCAATCTCGGACCCAATGGGGAAGTATTTCTGGAGGAAGTGGACGACTCGATGCTGTTTGGTATGCCAAACATTGAAGCGGAGGAGTTGGTGAGAGCGCCGTTGGCAAGCCCCGAAACACTGTCCTTGGTTTCAGGTGTGGCTGTGTTCAGTCCCAGCTCTAGTATTGTTGGTAGAGACAGTTTGAAACAGTCACTGCAGAGATGTGCTGGCAAGTCTGTCAACAATCCTCACGAGGTGCCATTGGAGAATGAAAGTGCAACTGTGAATAGAGGACCTCGAAGTGCATCACAGAAAAGTAATCCAGCTCATAAACCAGGCTTTGATGGTAATTCTAAAAATGGGTCATCCGGCAGTCGAGACCTGGAGGCTGGACATGGTCCATCACAAGAACCAGACTACCAGGTCAAACTGAGGTCAGGG